GGTTTTGGTTAGAGTCCATGACGATCATGGCAAGGAACATGGCAGCTATAGGCAGGCATGATGCTGTAGCAGTAGCTGAAAGCTTAAATCCACAAGCAAGAAGCAGAGAGAGAGAGAGAGAGAGAGAGAGAGAGAGAGAGAGAGAGAGAGAGAGAGAAAGAGAGAGAGAGAGAGAGAGCTAACTGGGAATGGCATGAGCTTTTTAAACCTCAAAACTCCCCCATCCAACCAGTGTCACATCCCCTCCAATAATACCATACCTCCTAATCCTTCCTAAACAGTTCCGCCAGCTGGAGACCAAGCATTCAAATCTATGAGCCTGTGGGGGCCATTCTCATTCAAACCGCCATAACCAGCCGGGCGGTGGTGGCGCACGCCTTTAATCCCAGCACTCAGGAGGCAGAGCCAGGCGGATCTCTGTGAGTTCGAGGCCAGCCTGGACTACCAAGTGAGTTCCAGGAAAGGCGCAAAGCTACACAGAGAAACCCTGTCTCGAAAAACAAAAACAAACAAACAAACAAACAAACAAACAAAAAAAAAAAACCCGCCATAACCTCAATTCCTGAGGTTGGCTCAGAAACAGATAAATAACCCTGTCCACTGTTCTGTCATAGGGTAGGAAAGGTCAAGGAGAAAGACACTTTGAAGGACAAGGCTTGCTGCCCTGCCAAGCCTTGAAGCCCTGGCTTCTCCAGCTGGTGAGGTTATCATGAGTTTACTGTGAGTATCAGAGCCAGCATGCCCTGTCCTGCCACCCTGTTCCAGAGGAGAGGTTAAAACGAGGTAACTGTAGAGCAGAGTGGGTGAATTTCCCCTCCCCAGAGGTACTGGCCTTTATCTACCCACTTGTTTTCTGAAAGGCCAGAAAGCCTTTTAAGTATGCAGTCCTCTCTCTGCCTAGGTCAGGCCATGAGCCCCAACTCAGCATTCCACATCCTACAATACACTTTTTGTCTTTTGAGATAGCTTATCACTACGTGACCCAGGCAGGCCTTCAACTCATCGCATAACCAAGGCTGACTTCAAACTCCTGATCCTCCTGCCTCTACCTCTCCAATGCTGGAATTATAGGTATGCACCTGGCTGGAATATACTTTTTTTGGTCTCAAAATAAGTATTCTGAGTGGCAGGCATTGTTCTGAGCTCCTGGGATTCAGCAATAGATAAGACAAGGTCCTGTCCTCTTGGAGCTCCTGCACCATTAAGAGAGGCAGGTATTGATCAGGCCAACAAGTACACAATACACAAAGTTGTAATAATGGAATGCGTGGGGATCCACTGCCCTCTCTACACCTGTCTACAATCCCTAGCAGCTGGCAGAGCCTTTGAGCTCTAGAAGTAGATAACCAATGCAGCACCAGGCACTATGAGCATGCTTTACATATTAATTATGTAATCCACAGGACAACCCTATGAGTCGGGTAGTGTCATGTCATCCTCCTCCTACAGATGGGATCTCTACTTACAGCTCTGCTCAGAGAAGTCAGTCCAAGCTCTCAGGGCTAGTGAGCATGATGACCGCATTCCTAGGCGAACAGCGAACTTTCCTGAGGCTCATTGACTTTCAAAAGATGTTTCATTTCCATGAGACTAAGACAGAAGGAACTAGAGTCATCTCTATCAAGTAGGATGTGAGGATATTAAAGAAAGGAATCTCTTTTCTGGGGTTTTTCTTCTCCACAGAATGTTCTGTGTTGTGTAAGTACAACTTTAAGATAGAAGAAGTTTCCAGAAGACAAAAAGAAATCAGTTCATCAATTGTGTCCTCGTCTCCGTCTCTGTGGGCCAGATGGAACATGGAAGAGAGGAAAAGTGAACCTGGTTCTGCCCTCGGTGGCATAAAGGTGAAACAGAGTGACTGTCAGAGGTCACCTCCCTTCCCCAGGCATAGGCAGGCATCCAGTGTCACCGCGGGACACAGAGATCGCTAGCTCTTCCAGCAGCAGCGGAGCCCCTGCGGGGTTTGGTGGAGGAAGCAGCTTACCTTTCACTCTTCTGGGCTGCTCAGGGTGACATGGGGCAGAGGTGAGGCTGGGAGGGATTACCTGCTATTTCAGATTAAAGCAGAAGCTACTCATGTACTTGTAGAAAACACGGAAAGGAGGGGCAGACGGTCAGCAAATACTAGGCAGAGTTTGCCAAAACGACATGGCTGTAGGCACAGGACCCCCACTGTTTTACCCACGTCCACTGTGATCAGTTCCAAGTGACCCCGGCTAGAGTTACAAGAGGCTTGGGGAGCCAAGATCTTAGGTACCTTGTGATGTCCCGGCATGATCCCCTGAGGATTTTCTTTTGGCTTAATAAAATACATTCCACTTGCAAAATGCTTTCAAGTTTGCAAAGCATTTTTGTTCCAGTCCTTCAGTTTCGACCTTGGTTTTCATACTCTCCCTACGTGTAGGCAGGGCGAGTGTTGTTGTCTCCACATGTACATTTATTATGGTTAGACTCCCAGAGTGGAGCTTGGTGCCCATGTCTTCTGATCTCTTAAGCCCCAGGCACTTTCCCTTGGTTTCCTCAGAGAACTTTCTGCTTCTATCCGTGTCTTTCCTCCCACCTAAGCATGGAAGCCCTAAATGGCCCCGAATTCCCATAGCTTAGTAATAAATTTGAGAAGTTCCCCCACTGACTCTGGGGCGGGGGTCCCATGGAGAGTCTATTCTGTGTCCCTGGTAAAAGGTCTACCCCCTCGGGCTTCTTCTGAGGCTCTGGGACCCAGAACTTGTACAATGCCCCATAAGCTTCTTAGAGGAGGCTGGTATTAGGCAGGATTGGATAGTCTTCCCCTGACATGCCCTTCATACTCGACCCTAGAGAGCTGGGGGTAGAAGAATGGGGTGTTCCCTGTGGTCCAGCTTCAGACCCACTCTCTGAGACCCTGGATTCTGACAAGTTTCCAGAACTTGGAAGACGCAGATGTCGAGGTCTGAAGGTAAATGGTGCCCTTAGGCAGGAGGGTTCAGCCAGTGTACCAGCTCAGCTCTCCACCACATGCACAGGGGAAAGAGAGAGGCCCTCCAGACTTTCTGTAGGAAGTGCATGTGGGCTGACTGCAAAGTGCTGAGTTCAAGGCAAGGGGCAGGGTGCTGGAGGGAGACAGGGAAAGGTCAGGGTAACCCAGGACAAAGCGGGGAGCTCACTATTCCCACCACTTGGATGGTTCTGCTGTTATACTGTAGGCAGGCACATTGGCGCTGCCAGTTTGTGTTGTTTACAAAAGCGTCGGGAGATTCAGTGCAGGCTCCTGTCTGGGTCCCTCGGAGCGGAGCGGTGTGAAGTTCAGCGAATCACGTCTCTACTCCCCTCAGTGCCTTTGTGCCTCACAGGGGGAGTTGTAGTAGACAGACCCTATGTGCTATTCAGCCCACTTCTAATATATTACTATCTTTCTCAAAACCAGGCATTTCTAGTAATTGTTGTATAATGCAGTTGGACACAGGGTAGAGTTTTAACGGGTATTTTTTGGGTCTGGGTCTCAAGGCCCTTTATAAAATAAGGTTTCCCTGAGGGTCTTTCCTCCTGCATCCTTGTATAAAGCTAACCCCAAGAGCTCCGGATTCTGTCTAACACTTCTCATAGACTTCGTGTGTTTGGTCTCTCAGAATTCCTGTAACCTAAATGGCACTATTATTTATATGGACAATATTCTTACCATTAAATTAAATTTAAATGTGCTGGGATAGAGTTTAGTTGGTAGAGTGCTTGCCTAGAATACGAAGCTCTGGATTCAATCCCCCAGAAGCACACGAAGTCAACATGGTGGCACATGCCTATAATCTCAGCACTGGGAGATGAAGGCAGGAGGAAAATTCAAGGTCGTCCTTGCCTACACATTGTGTTCAAAGCCAGTGTGGGCTACACGAAGCCCTGTCTCAAAAAATTACATTTAAACCAATGATGGTGGTGGTGCACGTCTTTAATCCCAGCACTCGGGAGGCAGAGGAAGGTGGATCTCTGTGAGTTCAAGACCAGCCTGGTCTACAATGTAAGTTCCAGGACAGCCAGGGCTATGCAAAGAAACTCTGTCTTGGAAAGCAAAACAAACAAAAATTATGTTTAAAATGTGACAGCATACACATGATAAAACAATCTAGTGGAATGTACAGTGAAAATTATGTCTCCCTTTGACCAGTGGTCCTCAGCTTCCCTCCCACAGATGTCCTTCTGGAGCTCAATTTTGCATGAGCAACACATATCCATGTCACAACTGAGGCACTAAGGTCCGCTTACCCAGGAGGGCACAGCTGGCAGGCAGCAGAGCGGAGAGTCCCGGCCTTGGCTCCATCTCTCATTTCCTTCCATCATCCCACACCATTCTGTAAGAAGCCCCAGGACTTTTAAACTTTGTCCTCTTTGGATGAGACACTATAAGCATTTTTAAAGAGTCCCAAACAAACTCCAACCGCCCCAACAGCAAAAAATAACACACATGAGCATGCAGAGCCATACTTAACTTACTGTCCACGGTGACACCATTCACTGCTTTCTCTTGCTATCTATACTTTAAAGTCATGCCTGCCTAGCTTTGGAGAAGCTGAGATCTGTGGCCTGGGTCCCAGTTATGGATGACTGAGCTCCCAGTAACTTTGGCTTGGACCTGAGGGGTTCAGGGAGACTCTTTGCAGGCAGCCCACAAAGCCCACCTGAATTCACTCAGAAGCTTGGACTGCTGGCACGTCCACAGAGTGAGAATACTCTCCCCCGAGAGCAGGCATTACACCCTGGAATGGAGGGCAAGGGTGCTTAGTTCCTGCAGAACAAGTTCTTCCACCACAAGGCTCTCAGAGTGATATTTTGTGTCCCTAGGATGCTTTTCTAGAAAGTTCTGGATCCTAGAAGAAGGCAAATAACTTCTCTTCCTCTCTAGGTTTGTGGATACCCCCTGGCTGGGTTTCATGGAGGAATCTTTCCTGATTACCAACATGAATCCCAGAGCAACCTCTGCCTCTCCCTGGACAGAATGAAAGGCCAGCTGTAGCCAGACATAACTGGCCACCATGGGGAAACTGCTCAGGATGGGGACACAGGAGAGGCGGTTATCCCGACGACCAAAAAGGCTTCACTGGAGTCGCCTCTTCTTCCTCCTGGGAATGTTGATCATCGGTTCCACCTATCAGCACCTTAGGAGACCCTGGAACTCCCCCTCAATGTGGACAAAAGTTTCTTCCCAACAGCCTATTAAATTGGCCAGCAGGGACCTCCCCAGTGATGAGATGATAGCGGTGGGCAGTGACCCTCCAGAGGCTAGTTCTGAAGTGGATGGTGAGCTGCTGGCACCCCAAAACACAGTGATCAGGGATGAAGCAACACCTAGCATGACAATGGAGGACACCCCCAGCCCACCCAGAACAACCAAGATCACCCCAACGTCACCCAAGAATAACTACAGCCCTATAAGAGCTGGCAGAGAAAGAGAAACGGAAAACACCCCCCCTACACCTAGCAGGGCATCATACCACTTCATCTCAACGTCAGGCAGAGAAAGAATACGAAGCTATACCCCAATACCCAGGGGAGAAAGGAGGAACTCCATCCCAACTCACTCCAGGGAAAAGGGAAGGAAGTATACCTCATTCCCAGCAGGTGCACCTTCTGATACCACCCCCACAGCAACAGAGAAAGACAGCAAAACCATGGCAACCTACAGGTTGTTGGAGACCAGACCTCCCGAGAGAAGAGCGGAAGAAACCGCCGCAGCTTCTTTCAAGAGAGTGGTTCCGAACACCCCAACTTTCTTAACCCCTGAAGTAGAAGCAAGCCTCTTAGCTTCTCCAAGTTTGGTGGAAGAGAACACCCTGGGCAGTCCTAGAAAAGAGGAACAAAACAGCTCTGCCGGTCCCCAGGGAGCAGTCCCCCAGCACACCCCAGCCACGTCTGAGGAGCAAGTGAACACCAGGATGGGTCATACCCCAGCAGCCATCCAGGCTTCCACTGTTGCCTGGAGAATCAGCAACCCCTTGTCCAGAACCAGTGTACCGACCATCAGAATTGCCTCAGCCACCAACAGGGAGCTGGCAAAGAGACCTCCCACGGCACACAGTGCCCCAGTAACTCCCAAAGGCAAGGCACTCCTGACCACACAGGTCCACCGCTGTGTGGTTGTGGAGCCAGCCCCAGCTGTGCCCATGACCTCATCTCCGAGCATGACAAATATCCTGTTCCCAGAGGCACCCAGTTCCAGTCCCTCAGTTTTACCACCTGGCTGGCCAAACCTCTACCACAAGGCAGAGTATCCCCCGGACCTGTTCAGTGTGGAGGATCGGCGGCAGGGCTGGGTGGCCCTGCACATCTTCGGCATGATGTATGTGTTTGTGGCCTTGGCCATTGTGTGCGACGAGTACTTCGTCCCAGCCCTGGGAGTTATCACAGACAAGCTGCAGATCTCTGAGGATGTGGCGGGAGCCACATTCATGGCCGCAGGAGGCTCAGCCCCTGAGTTGTTCACTTCTCTCATTGGTGTCTTTATCTCTCACAGCAATGTGGGTATTGGGACCATTGTGGGCTCTGCTGTGTTCAACATCCTTTTTGTGATTGGCACCTGTGCCCTCTTCTCCCGGGAGATCCTCAATCTCACCTGGTGGCCCTTGTTCCGTGATGTCTCCTTCTACATCCTTGACTTGTCCATGCTCATTCTCTTCTTCCTGGATAGTCTGATTGCCTGGTGGGAGAGCCTGCTGCTGCTGCTGGCCTACGCCCTCTATGTGTTCACCATGAAGTGGAACAAGCAGATTGAGCTTTGGGTGAAAGAACAGCTCAGCAGGAGGCCAGTAGCCAAGGTCATGGCCCTGGGGGACCTCAGCAAGGTAAGGCAGTCTGGCTCCAGCTTTCCCAGGCCTCTTGGGTCTGAAAGGACGGGGTGGGGTGGGGGTGGGGGGGTGTTAGAACTAAAGCGTAGAAAGAGCAAGATTGCAAGAGGGAACTGCTTGATCCCCTGGCTGTCCGTTCATTATAGTGTGCCTAAGCTCTGTAATTAGCGAGTGTGACTGTGCCTCTTCCCCAGTCATCCTCTACACTGGCTGTGACTGTGATTCGTATTTTCAGAAAAGAAAAGCAGGGAGAGAAGTTAAAACATTCATCCAGGGTCACACAGCAGGCAGTGGAGTCAGGGTTTGAACCCAGATTGGCCTGATTGGATGTGTGGAAATGCCATTTGAGTCAGCTTTGGAGAAAGAAGAGATACTAGGCAGGGGGTGGGGGATGGGGAATGATAATCTCTTCCATGCACACGGAGTTCAGAGTTTAGGCAGCGACATCATTTTCAAGTATGTTTGTTCACAGGCTGGACTTGGAGAAGAGTGTGACTTAGATGGGATCTGGGGAAGGAGATATTCACCCCCTTAATGTTGGAGATGAGGAGAGCTCCACTCGCTGACAAGCCAGCCCTCAGGCATAGCCCTCACTTGCCTGATATCAGACATGCTGATCCTGGAGCTTTTCTGCCCCTATGAGAGGCTTTCCTGCTTAAATTCATTGGATGATTCAGTGACTTAATTGGGGAGGTCATCTCTGAAAGCAAATCCCAAGTAGGGACCCCTTTCTTTCCTATTCCTGGAGGGTGAGCTTGGGTTAAGATTGGCTCATAGCCTGTCTCTCTGGTCTCGGAGCAGCTGTTGGTGGGAGTGGAATTTTGCGTGCAAAGAGCATAGGACTTAACTGCTTAATCCTGAGCAGTTTTGATGAGTGGGCAGGACGGCTACCAATCTCAGCAACAGGAGGCAAGAGATTAAACTGCTTCCTTTAGAATTTTTGAAATAACACAGTGTTCTGGTCAGAGCCTGGAAACAAGAGCCAGATCCCCTGAGTTCTAATCCAATGCTCCTTTTCAGTTAATGGCAGGACCTGGATGGGGCTCTTCTGGACCCTTCCCCAGTCTCTAGGGGAAATGACAGTCCAGTTCATCACCAAAAGGTCCTGCCTAACTCTGAATTTTATGATGATGTCTGAGTCCAAATGAGTTCAGTTCTGGCGGGACTCAGCACAGTGGTTATTTGTCTGACCTGGGCAACCATTTACCATTTACCCAAGGCACAGAAAGGGTCACATGGCCGGCTGGGGTCAGCACTGGAGAGATGCAGACCCCTGACTCCCTAATCACCACAGTTTCCTGCCAGGCTGTTGCTCTGAAGCCACAGGCTTAGAGAGAGGGTGACTCCATGTTGCAGAATTGAAGCCTCCTAGGTCCGGATTCATTCTGGAGGCCCGGCTTCTCTGAGAAAATCCCTGGTGTGTATCAGGACACCAGTGCTCAAAACCTCTCTGACCCGCCTCCTGGTTCTTAGTAGTAAGTCCGCTTTCATTGAAACTCAGTACATTCTGAAATTTCTGCTGCGCCCGAGCGAGGCCATCAAAGCAAAGCTTACTAAGTAAGTGAAGCAAAAACCCATGAATTTGTCCCACTTAAGAGGCTGTCCAAGGCCAATAGTAGCAGTTCTTTGCCAGTAAGCAGGGGTTGATTCTGTTTTCTTACTCTGTGTTGAAAGCTAATTCAGTAGGATTTTTAAAAAATAATTTATTTATTTTTATTTTATGTGCATTGGTGTTTTGCTTGCATATCTGTCTGTGTGAGGGTGTCAGATCCATGGAACTGGAGTTACAGACAGTTGTGAGCTGCCATGTGGGTGCTGGGAATTGAACCCAGATCCTCTGGAAGAGCAGCCAGTGCTCTTGACCACAGAGCCAACTCTCCAGCACCTCAGTAGGATTTTAATTGACAGTATTATTAAAGAAAAGTTGAATTACTAACTATACTTGAAGGTAAATTCAACATTATTTAAAATTAGGATGCATACTCTGGACTTGCCTTGAATAATATCCACCATGTAAGAATAGGTATAAGTAACTCAACTATAGCTTTTAAAAATGGTATGTGTATATATGTGTGTGTGTGTGTGTGTGTGTGTGTGTGTGTGTGTGTGTGTACTTAGAGTTCCATTCTGGGGTGACTTTTGGCTACAGAAAGAGAGAACTACCCTCCTTTGTGTCTGGATTAACTGGCCAAGATCTATGAGCTGATCAGAGGGACGTAAGTTGTACTATATCTCACTGGCAGCGTGAGGACAAGCCACTGCACTGAATCCACGAGGCAGTTCTGTGCAAACTCCGTGCTGGGCTTCCATTTCTGTGGTTCAATGTTAAGTCTGCGCCTGCCCTGCAAAGTGTTTCCCCTTACCTATGAAGTGTTTTTTAGAACAACCTCCTCTCCACCCACCTCTCCTCACTGGACTGTGGCTCTCCTGGATCAATGGGTCCCTTAGTTAAACATCAGTAGAGAAGTCCGTTAGTTAAACATCAGAAAACCTGGGTTTCCTCAGTCAGCCATGGCTCTGAAGTAGAGGAGGTCAGAGAGAAATGGGGCGAGGCAGGCTGGGAGCCAAGGAGCAGAGTTGGCGAGGTGAGGTCCTCCAGGCCAGAGCGTCTTGAGAAGTAGGAGCCAGGCAAGGAGAGAAACACAATGGAGAGAAAAAAAAAAAAAAGGTCCTCCTCCTTCCTCTGAGTGACAGCAATATCAGTGTCATCGTCGCCACTGAGCGGGGAAGCAATCTGTGTCCCAAACCTGAGCTCAGAGTCTTAGTCTGTGAGCATTTGACTCGGTCTCTTCAGGAATGCCAACAGTTCAGGGACTCCAGTTTACTGACAGGTGGGAGCCAGAAGGAACCCCATGTTTACGAGGGTCCATTCCACATACAACTGTCTCAACAATTTCTCTCTTTCTCTTTTGAGTTTTCAAGACAGGGTTTCTCTGTGTAGACCTGGCTGTCCTGGAACTCACTCTGTAGACCAAGCTGGCCTCAAATTCAGAGATCCACCTGCCTCTGCCTCCCGAGTGCTGGGATTAAAGGCGTGTGCCACCACCGCCCGGCAACAATTTCTTATTAAATGCTAAAAAAAAATTAGACTGTAATCCATATCTTACATATGAGGATATGGGGGCACAGAGTGGGCACTTAATCTGTCCAACGTCACACAGCCAGTCAGTGATATTTAGTGATGATAGTGAATCAGTATATTTGGGTTTTAACTTAGGTGCCCTGTTAACCACCCCCTGCTCGGTGAGCAAGTCAAGGCAACTCTACACTGTTTATTAGTAAGTGCCTGGACGAAAAGCAGTGTGAGGAATAAAGTTAACTTGAAGGAAGCGAATCCTGTGCTGGAGCCATTGCTGTTCCCGGAGGCCTTCAGTTGCTGTGAACCGGTTGAGACAGCTCAGGCCTGGCAAACTCTGCCCAGGCCAGGCCGTGAAAACCTCCGGCTTTGCAAGCCACACCCCCTCCCCCAGTTCAGTGTGGTCCCTGTAGCTAGAGAGTAAATAGCTACCCGGGGAGTAAGTGGGAGTGGCCACTGGTTTTCCTCCCCCACGGGAGGCTTTGAGCAGTCAGCCAATGGGTGCAGCCGGGCTTCTGAGCTCCGCAATCTTTTCATTTTATGAATGCCACATTCTGGTTGGAGTATCTCAAATCAGAATGAAGGAGTTTCTTGGGGACCATGGTTCTAATAAAATGCATTTAAGATTATTTTCAGAAAAATATATTTAGTATTTCTCTCTCTCTCCCTCCCTCCCTCCCTCCCTCCCTCCCTCCCTCCCCCCCCCCCCCTCTCTCTCTCTCTCACACACACACACACACACACACACACATAATCTTTAGTTTTTAAGTCTTTACATCTATTTGTTTTATCTGTCGCATGCTTCCACATACCACAGGACATGTGTGGAGGTCCAAGGAGTTGGTTCTCTATCATGTGGGTCCTAGGAAATAAAGCTCAGATCATCAGGCTTTATCCTCTGAGCCATCTCAGCAGCTCATATATAGTATTTTAGAGTGTCTCTTTTGACATTAGCTGAAAATTTCAAAGCTAAAAACACCTAAGACAACACTGTCAGATTCATATCGACTGGTGTAAGGTGCCTGTTATGACCCCAGTAAGGCAATGGTAACTGTTATCCACAACCTCACTTAGCTCTCTCTGAAACTTTATACTGAGTGTTGAAGCTCTCCGTGTATTATTTCTGGCCCCAGATGGCAAACCTCCGGACTTCTTTGTCCATGTATAGTCACAGAGAGCCAACATTCACCAGAGAACTCACTGCCATCCAAGGATGATGGACCCCTCATCGCATGTGGAGTGAGGAGCTTAGCCAGAAGAACCAGCCATGGACAGAAGAGCAGCCCTAGGGAGTGCCAATAGCAAACGGGGGCATAAGGATATGAGTCCTTGCAGAAACTCCATCTCTACACTCTGCACCAAAGAAGTCTCAGGATGTGAAGTTCTGGGGAAAAGCCTGGCACGTGGTCCTGAATACACTGGAGCCTCTTTTCTCCCCAGCGGGGATTTTCTTATTCAACCAGCAAGACTCCGCAGAGACAAAGCAGGCATGCCTGCAGAGGCTGGTCTTCCCGTTTCTTGTCAGGGTTGATATTTAGCTTGAAGGGTCATATCAGCGGCCCGTATAGCCAGCTGCCTGCTGCGGAGTTGGGAGGCTATGGACAAGAAGCAGCCATCTTGGCTCTTCCTACTTCTGTGGGTCCCACCCATGTTAGGCTCCAGAGAAGGCACTGTACTGCAAAGAGCTCATCTTGGCTGGGCCGAGGAATGGCCTTCCATTGTTTAACTAGTTGTTGGCATCCTTCTAATTGTCAGAAAAAGATGGAAGGAGTCTCCTCCCGCCCCCCCCCCCCCCCACTGCAGTTTTGTGGAAGAGTGCTTGCTTGCCTAGCACAGGCCTTTCCTCATATAACTTTTCAAGCTCCCCTACTGGCCAGTGGTGGCAAATGACATCACAAATGCACGAGAAGCAAATATTAAT